GCCACGCTAGTAGTAACAGGTGCCTTACTAGTAGTAACAAGAAGCTATTAGACACAATAAGCTACTAGGAACAAGCGCATCGCTAGTAGTAACAAGTGCCTTACTAGTAGTAACAAGAAGCTATTAGACACAATCGAATTTAATTAGAATCTACATAACTAGCTTTCTTGATCCCAGTCGTTCCACCCAGTCGTTCCACCCGATCCATCCATCTCGAACGTCCTTTCTCGAACGTTTTCCAGGTGCTGCTGCCCTTGGAGGGGCCGCAGCTGGCGGAGGTGCTGCGCCGCGCGCTGCGGGAGCGCCGCGCCGAGCCGGAAGCGTCCCTCGGAAGCGCCGAGTGCAGCGTGAAGCATTGTTACTACTAGCTTCTTGTTACTACTAGTAAGGCACTTGTTACTAGAAGCATGGCACTTGTTACTACTAGCGTGCGGATGGACATAGGAGATCTCCGCAAGTGGCCTTTTTTGGAGCTTAAAGTCGGACGAAAAGCAAGTGCACAGGAGTCCGCAACCATTTGGTCTCATTTGGTGGGATTCCGCAATCTCAGTTTCAGAATCCCGCCACTACAATGACCAGAATTACATTTTTTTCTTCTCTCTCTATATATTTACACACACACACACATAGGGTTCTTCCTCAACAAGTTATTCGGTTGTTTTCACTTCGTCGACGAACAAAAACAAGCCAAACCGGTTTCCTGAGTTCGAACTGCCGAGGTTGCAGATCACTGCGGCCTTGACGGCCCCGCTGGAAGAACGTGCAGGGCCGAAGGAAGCTCGTTCGGTCGGCTCGAGTTGATAGAAGTCGCTGTGAAAGAAGGGCTATGGCTACTGTGCGACTTCTCCCCCAAGTGTATCAGCAAGTGGTGCTTTTTTGGTCGGGTACTCGGAGCCTGGTAGATAGACGACAGTGCCCATAGAGACAGAGATAGAGAGGGGAATAATAGGGAGCCGCTTGCGACTGGTGATTTGTTCCACAACAAGGCTTGGAAAAGACCTGTTGGTGCTTTGGATGGGAAATGAGAAGAGAGCCTACGAATTTACCCAGTGCATCGTGGGGATTCCTGAAATACTAGGCTGCACGGATTGCAGTTGGAAATCCTATTCCAAAGACAGACTGATCCGACAGATCTCTTTGAATGACAATCTTCGACTCCCGCACTGTCCCGCACTCTCTTCCCATGCTGTGCGATGCTGTGCTAGGAGCTCCGGAGCAGCGTGTTCCTGGAGGCAGCCATGGCAGAGATGGAGATGGAAGCTGTGGCCTTTGAAAGCAGCCGAAGCATCTCACAAAGGCCTAGCCGGGCACCACTGGGAGAGAGAAACAGAGAACTGTGGCCTGAACTCGTGCAGATGCCACTGGTATTGTACACCGTCCATACATCGCGGATGCAATGCGACAATCCTTCAAAGTTCACTACATAGAGCTATTGAAACGTGAATCCGGACATGTTTCGTGCAGAAGTGGGCGCCGCCTTTGGGGCTCTTTGTAGCCGAGAGGACAGCCGGGATTTGGGTAAGTTGCTGGATTGCTTGAGGATTTGCTTCTCAATATTTTAGTACATTTCTTTGTTCAGTCTTCATGCATTCTGATGTGCCTTTTGCATCTTTTGCCGTTTTCTGCCGGGTGAGAGAAAGGTTTGGTGATGAATATCTGCAAGACTTGGGAGCATCTATCGAAATTGCGCTCCTTTGCTTCCAATTCGGCTTCCGCCAGGGCTTCGAAACAGTTTCCGGCCATACCATAGTTCCTTGCTGCCCGCAGGACCTTGTCCTATTGACCGCACACAGTGTCTCCCTTCTGATTTTTAAAGTGAGGGAGGCCCCGCACCCTGGTGCGATGGTATGCAGCAGGAATCTAACTAACGCCTGCATTTTAAGAACAATTTCGTGCCGATAAAAGCAATGTGGGCTGCCGCAATCTCGGACTTCCGGCATTTTTGCAACGTCTGCCACTGGAGTGTCGTTTGCTTAACACCAATGGCTAGTTGGCGGCCCCGGAAGTCTTGGTGTGACATTCCCATGTACAGAAGTTCTTCGGCCCAGAGCTCCCTAGGATAGATCTGTGAACCGACTGTGTCTGAAATCGATGAGGCCAACAAGATGGTTACCCTGCTCTCATGTAACACGTTCCATCCTTGCCCCTTTACCCTGCACCAAGTTCCACCTTTGTTTTGGAAAGTGGTTCGTTGGTCAGTTCATGGATCGGGCGATCAATGTGTCGCTGGAGAGTGGCAGAGGCCGAGTTTGAGTCCTAAAGCGGCGAGTGATGTCCCCAGAATCCCAGAAGCACAAGCATTTCCATATAATACGAACATGTTCCAACTCTGAGGAACTTTTCGTCTGTGAAAGACGACTCGAGAATCTTCCAAGTCTCATACGCTGGAGGGTGTCAGCATCACACATTGAGAGTTTGGGGATGTTTCGGGGCCAATTTTGGGGTCAAGCATTTAGCCACTAGGAGTGAGCAAAGGGCATCGCTACTAGGAGCAAGGACGCTACTAGAGGCTCCTGGCCGTACTACTAGGAGCAAGGACGCCACTAGGAACAAAGTTCGGGGTCAGGCATTTAGCCACAGTTGCCGAGCCGGTACCACTAGACTTTGATGCTTCCAGCTTCACACGAGCAAAGATTGACGCACTCAATTCGCTTGACGCTGAGATCGGTACCAACGTTTTGGACCAGAAGGGCGTCTCTTGGTTCCTCCTTTTGGAGTCCCTTGTAGGTTGGAGGCCATCGCTGTTAGTGCTCTTAGCAATAAAAGCTCTCACTCCACCTGTTATGACATGGGTGCTTCACTACTTAATCCGTCACCTGACTCGCACACTCCACGTGGTGATCGATATGCCATGGAATCTGGCGCAGTCTCTCCTCAGAGCTCCCAGGCGAACCCGTTCTTTTGCCAAGTTTTGCTGAACTCATTCCTTGCTTTATGTTTTGGTTGGAGTTTTTGCGACAAACTCAAAGCTCTTGAGGTTAGATGTTACACGGTTACACCGCAAGTAGACCGATTTCTAGTTGTTTTTCTTATGGGCCTTAGGCTCAATTGAAGTCATCTACTTCAAACATACGCTTGGCAGGGCCCACATGTTCAAAAGAATGCGTGTTTGATTGAGGCCTAACCCGCCCAACTCGTCAGGTTTTCACGAAGTCCTCAAGGATTCCCCTTGGAAAGACCACCAACACTTCTCGTGTCCTCCAACCTACCTAGCAATGGCCTCCAACCTAGCAATGGCGTCGTTTCTTCAACTCCGAATTTAAATTTTGCTCTAGAGAAGCCTATTAGGAACGAGAAGCTACTAGGGGCTCCTGGCCTTTCTACTAGGAGCAAGAAGCTACTAGGGGCTCCTGGCCGTACTACTAGGAGCAAGAAGCTACTAGGGGCTCCTGGCCTTTCTACTAGGAGCAAGAAGCTACTAGGGGCTCCTGGCCGTACTACTAGTAACGAGAAGCTACTAGG